AAGTACCTGTTGGTGCTTGCCAGGCCAGCACTGTAAATAAGAATTTGTTCCTAGTGTTTATGTCTGGTTAAATAAAGGGGAAATGAAGAAAAAATATATAGTCTGTGTGGGTAAACAAATATGATAGAATTTGACAAGTGTACAGGTGATGTTTAAGTGCCCTCCACAAACAGAAACAAATATGTTCTTCATGCGTGATTCTTCTCTCAGCATGATAAAAAAGATTATGTTTAGATGTAGGTAAATAAAGAATATGGAATATGTGTCATTGACAATTCTAAACAAGGTAGCAGGGCTTTAAACATCTAGTACACTGTCTTTTGGCATTTTTGTCATCATTTGGAGTATGTGTGTTTGTGTGTGAAGTGGGTATTGTGAGAGCAGTGCACACCTGCAGAAGTAAAGGATAAATGGCCAGACATATAGGTGGGAGTGAAGTGGCACAAAGGCACTCAGAGACTTTATATAACTTAGAGACATATTTATTAAAGATTTGTTGTCAAAAAACAAGTTGCTGCACATCAACAGACTGTTTCAGCTGCAGTAAAGGTACATTTGACATGTCTCTGGACATCATGCTGATAAGGCCGTCCCATACAGGCATGCTGTAAGGACACGATCAAAAATATGTGTAAGAAATGAAAAGAAATTGAATGTGTATGACTCATATTCCATGCAATTCTTTATTTACCTACTTCTAAACATAACTTTTTATTGTGCCGAGGCAGGCATGGTTCCTCCTCGCCTGCATCTGTGATGCTGTGGCCAGTTCAGCTCAGAGTTACCGCAGGCACTTTAAATCAGCTAAAATGCCAGGGGTCATTGTGTAAAGAAAACAGCTGGATGGATGGATGGACTTCCTCATACCACAAAATTATTTGACTTGTTCAAGAGTTTTCAAATTTCTAGGTCTTCACATTTTTTTGATTGTGTCCTTACCCCATACCTAATTATATGAAGCAAATGTTCACAAATATTTCATCAATAAAGTATTGATTCAGTTTTTTGTTTATTATTATTATTATTTTAAATAAAGTTTAGCTGAGATTAATCCTGTATTTTGACTTACAATATTGTTTCCATTACAGCCAAAATAATCTTTTGAAGTTGAAGATATCTATCTAGAGATAGAAACAACATGTTTTAGCTGAAAAGACTTAAATACTTTTTATTAATTGAAGTGGCGAAAATGGCATTTCATACAAATGACGTCATCTCACATCCCCGGAAGTGGCGCTTGGCATGCGCGTATCACCGAAGAAGAAAAGCAGCAGATTACCAGCGGCTGAACTGTAAACACCAGGAACCAGGGAGACGTCTAGATCTTGGGATGGAAACATAAGGTAAAACCAGTCCGAAGCAGGCCTGCTGTGGTGCCGCACCGCTGTCAGCCTGTTTGACGACACATCAATGTGAACTGTGTCAACATTAGCGCACTTTACTTTATCCAATCTTTTTTTTTACGACTTCATGATGTTGAGCTAGAAATACAAATAATCTCCTGTACCCTGAAAGTGTACTCTAACAACGCGTAAGTGACTTTGTTGGATGCAACAACTTGTCTTGAATATAGAAGAATTTACCGAATGAATTGACGTTGCTGCTAGCTTGAGAGCTAGCCTCCCCATGTTAAAAGTAAAGTAACTCTTTGGAGGCGAGTGTTGCCTCATTGATTTGGTTTTTATTTTCGTAAATATTTGGCCCACATACATGCTGCCAGGGTAATTAGTTTAATAAAAGACAAATAAAGTAATTTTTGGCCATACCGTAAGCTAGCTAACTAGCTGGCTTAGGTACCTAAGAAGCTAACAACAGTTAGCCGGTGTGAGCTAAGCTTCTCTGTTGTCCGTGAAGAATATAAAGTACTGCAGTTCATGTTACACAAACAACCAGGCAGACAATGGAGGTGTACTGACAGAAAATAGCTTTAAAAAAAAAAAAAATCCAAACTCTTTGTGCTGTTCACGAGTTTTGTCCTTGCAGCATATGATATGTGTTTGGTTTTCCTGACTCCATATTTATATTTACTCCATATTATTAACGACATTTGTGTCATTGTGTTTCAGAGTTGTTTAAATGTTGTCACGTGTGATTTAAAACTTGGATTTCGTACTTAAGAAGTACATCCTTCTTAAGGTAAAGAGTTAAAGTACCACGATGGGTAAAACTGGGGAAACCTATAAATATTGGCATTTAGCTTTTTTGTTCAAAAGTAAAGACAAAGCAGTTAAAAAAAAAAAAAAAACTCCTTTATTCCTGTTTCTCTATTGAAGTAAACAAAAAATTGGGTATTTTATTTTATCCTGTTCCCCTGGTACGCAGGACAAAGTTTCAATAAACAATTTGTCAAAAAATATACTTGTGTTTAGGCTTAGACTACTGGAGGACACTTTGATCTAATTTTCGTAAATTAATTGTTAAAATTTAATAGTTTTCATTTGATATTATTTCTATCTTCATATGTGATTCTTGACCTGCCATTGTGTATCTGTTCCTCTCAAACCCAGCTGGTTGAAGCAGATGGTTCTGATGGAGGTTTCTTCGTCATGAAGGAGTTTTTTCTTTCCACTGTCTCCTTCATGCTTGCTCAAGATGAGAGAGTTCTGTGATGGAGTTAAATTCAAAGCAGTCTGCTCCTCAGATAAATAATGTTAACTTATTTTTATATATGAATGTTTCTGTTGTGACTTGGTGCTATATAAGTAAACTGAATTGAATTGATGTCTTTAAAGTTTCAGTTCAGTTTTGTTTGTAGAAAATACATCTGATTTAGTTTCAAGTTATATTTTATGTACAACTTGCCAATGACAGGTTGCTACTGAAACAGAGTTCTGTGACTCAGAGCTCCTTTATATTGCATCTTAAATGGAAATGGATAGTCAGAGTCAGAAAATGCTATGTCATAGAAAATGCTAATTAAAATACTTTGTGTTTCTTGGTGCATTATTGACCACAACATGCTTTTAACAGTGATTTAAGGTGTTTTTCCTTTTTAAAAGTTAAATGTATTTTTGAATATGACAGGTCTGATTTTACAGTTACTTATGTTTTAGAACTAGATTACATTGATAGGGGACACAACTAGCATTTTCTTTTTAAATGCTGTAGAGCATATGTGTCAAACTCAAGGCTCGGGGGCCAAATGTGGCGCTCGTTGACATTTTATCTGGCCCCCAAGATGATATGTGAAATATAAAATACTTCTGCTGGTGAAGATTCTCAGTCATCCAGGACATGATGAATTCAAAAAATGTTCAATACAAAAACAACTGGACTTTATTTGTAACAGAAGACGCTTCGCTCCTCATCCGAGGAACTTTCTCAATTCAGAGAGTGAGAGGTTCAGGTTATAAGGCTGACTGAGATAAGATCCACACACACATAAGACACACATATACATATGTAGATTTGACAATTCACATCTCAACACCTTAACAGTACGAAAACTACTTAAGAAACGTGCTGAAGATTCTCAGTCATCCAGGACATGATGAATTCAAAAAGCATTCAGTACAAAAACAACTGGACTTTATTTGTTGTCTTCTGTTACAAATAAAGTCCAGTTGTTTTTGTATTGAACGCTTTTTGAATTCTTAAGAAACCCCTACTGTTAAGGTGTTGAGGTGTGAATTGTCAAATCTGCATATGTGTGTGTCTTATCTCACTCAGCCTTATAACCTGTATCTCTCACTCTCTGCTCTTTGAATTGAGAAAGCTCCTCGGATGAGGAGCGAAGAAAAGATGTTGAGTATCTGATTTGAGCTAATGTAGTTTGTGAAATTGGCCCTTAATTTGAAAAAGGTTTTAATTTTGGCCCCCTTGGTGAGTTTGACACCGCTGCTGCAGAGTGTCAGTGCCACTTGTGTTCTTATCTCCAAAATGACCCCAAGTTTATCATTTAACAAAATGCCCTGTCCTCAGCGTGTTTATTGGAGTAGGTTATCAGACTTTTTCAGTCCATATATTTTGTGTGTAATTTGTTTAGCTTAGAGAAATCACTAAAAACCCTTGGTGGGTAACAGGAAAGTTAAAACACAAGATGCAATAACTGAACAAAGAGTTGTTATGATGTTGGCTCATAAAAAAAAAACAACAACTGGTGCTAGAAGTGAAAACAAAATATAAATTTTTGTTTTGTTGTCTTCACAGGCTAACCTGAAAGTGTCTAACCAAATATTGTTCTTCAGTGCAAGGACACAAAGCCAATGCGCAGGTGGGTGTGGTATTTATTTAGGTATAAATGTGAAACACTTACAGAATGTGGGTGTTGCGTTCAGACTTGTGCCACACCTCTAAAGAAGAATGGTTTAAATGCACTGGAGCCTGATAAGAAGAAGTAAATAGAAAATATTTTCCAGCAAAAAAAAAGTACATTGGTGCACATGAGGACATTACACGAACACATCGAGTGGTGTCAGGTTAGTAGAGGAAAAGCGTTTTAAAAGCACAGCAGAACTATTTGCTATAGTGGTGAAAATGTTCTGAAATGAGATCCCATTTAGACTATTTTAAGTTACCACATTAGCTTGTCTGTAAGGTGGACAAATCCATGCTAAGTTGACCAGTTTCATTTTGAGTCCAGATCACTCAGCATTCACTGAGGAGGGAGATCTGACCTTTGACCCACTGTGTTACTTGTAATTTCAATCTCTTGGTCTGTTTCTGTCTTTGGTTAAAATCTGGGTTGATCCTTCTGTTGGTGAATAACACAAATACAACGTGGAACCACAGCTATATTCTAAAGACAGGTGTTTTCACTGTGACTGACATCTGTTTGAAGAGGAAAAATGAGTTTTAAAAGGAAAACGATGAATTGGAAAAACATTTGTTTCCAGTTTGAACAAGATCTTCATAAACTTATTAAAGTTCTATCAATGACTGATGACGACAATAGGGGGAAAAAAAGGTTTAATTGTTTTTTTAATTTTACTTTTTATAAAGGACACAAAGAAAATTTCAGTCATGGTAATACAAATCAAAGCCCAGCAAACAGAGGTATAAGTTAAACAACAAGCTGTTTAATGATAAGATGCTTCATGTACAGTAGTCCCTCGCTACTTCGTGGTTCGTTCTATCGCCGTTTTTCAAAAATAAGAGTGGACATGACACACAATTGGCTGATTGATAGATGAGCCACACGATCGGCGTGAAATTGTTATTCAAAATCAATTATTTAAAATTATTTAGCACCTGCTGCACATTTGTGCAGCCCAGTTCTGCAGGAGGAACTTCCTCCTGCAGCTCCTCCTCCCTCCTCTGTGGATCTCTGTTCTACAGCGGAGAAGTGGGCGTGGCCACAGAGTGCAGCCGCTGCAGAGAGCTGACTTCATGATGTTCTGTGCTCTTTTAGAGCGTTTAGAGTTTACTGCGTGTACTACTATTACGACTTCGCCGTTTTTCATTTATCGCGGGGCTTCAGGGTACGGATCCCCCGCGATAAACGAGGGACTACTGTACTGCATTGTTTATGTGAGAAGAAAATATGTTCCTAATATTTCTCAGCATTATTCTTTAAATGTATTTTTAGTTTAGTTAAAAGTTGTGCTGACAACAAGAATGGCTCTTGGTATGTAATCCATCGTCAACTTTACTGGAGCCTTCAAAGAAAGACCCAAAACATTATCTCTTCTGTTGTGCGACGCACAGAAAGATCAAAATTAAAACAACAGCATTTGTGTGAATTCATTTCCCAAAACAATGGACGCTACTAATTTATAAATATCTTGTATTTGATTAGATTCTGGCAGATCGTACCTTGAGTTTGTCAAAGTGGAGCGCTCTGTTTGGTGTTGTGGCTGCATTGTAATACAACCTGCCTGTCATGGAGGAAGATGAGCTAAGGTGTCCTGGTTATACAGCAGTGACTAGAAAATCTAATTAAATGATCACTAAATGTATTTTTCATTTATTCAAGCACTTAAGCTCAAGATAATTTGATGGTTTATGTTTGCACACTGTAATAAACTTGACCTTTAGGAAGTGATTCATGTATAAAACTACGTGAGTAAAGTGTGAGGTCTGATCACGACGACGAAGACAACATCTGTGGAAATGGACGTCTTTTTAAATGTCAAGGAGTTTTGGCTGGAGCTTGTGAACATGAGTCCCAGCACCACGCTGCGCCCGTGTCCCCTGCTCTAAAAAGATGTGGGGTCAGCGTGGATACGTTTACACTGACAGATGCATGTACAGAACAGTGACCCCACTATAGATGGTTCAGCTGATGGTCTCAGACTTACACTTATTCTGGGTTTGTGCAGAAAAATGCTGGTCTGTACTAACGTACTTTTTAAGAATATAGTTTAATGCAGTGGTACAAGTTAAGAACGGGTAAACTGGAATTCTTGTGTGCATTTCTCCAAGTCAGGCAATTAAAAAACTAAAGTTTCTTACAGGTAAAAGTTACCTTTAAAATGCCAGACTGGAATTTGCACACAACTAAATCAAACTTTTTTTTCCATTTTGTTGTGCGTTTGCTTTTTTTAGTACTAATATGTACCATTGTAATTTTCCATTTAAGTTCAGTCTCTGTAGCAGTGATGTGCCAAGCCAAACCCAAAGACTTTCACTTCCATTGCAGCGTGCCAGCCTGAACCGCTGAGCCTTCCCACCGCTCTGCCTCTGCTTTCAGACAAACATGTACAGCCTTTTTGTTCTCGGTGCTTTTGTATGCAAATCTCTGTTCTGGAGTTTAAATTTAGCCCGTTAGCTCTTACATTGATCGTTTTTGACTACTTAAAGGTTAAACTGACTCGTGATTTCCTGCTTTTGTTTAGGGAACCTTTAAGAATGATCAACAAAAATATTAATAGACTTTCTGAGACAATTTGTCTGAACTTTCACAGCTTGTTCTTTTGCATTTAGAGTAAGGTGTTACATCTAATATCTGACAGAAATATGTTCAAATTTTGGCACAAGAGAACGGTCTCTGTACTGTGAAGTAAGTTATCAAAGCTGAAGTGTTTATATAATGGGTTATGGTGGTAATTATTGTTTTTTTGTCATCTTTGACCAAAGAAATGACAATAATGGTCTGTATTACCACAAGTAAAAACAAACAAAAATTGAAAGTGCTTTTCTAGTCCTGATTTTCACGGCTTCCTTATACACTGTTTCAAATGAATAGATTTAACAGTGTGAAACCATAAAGTGAAAAAATTTTTAAATAAAAAGCGAAGCCTTTTTTAAAAAATGGCAAAATTGGTTGAGATACCAAATTGTAACGCTGTAAATGTATTTACTGTGAAGGGCCACCAGTGCACGTCAGGACGCCACTGGAATGGACATCACCAGCCGCTGTACTCTGGGGGACCCCAATAAGCTCCCTGAAGGGGTCCCCCAGCCAGCACGGATGCCTTATGTGTCAGACAAACACCCGCGGCAAACCCTGGAAGTGATCAACCTGCTGAGAAAACACCGGGAGCTTTGTGATGTGGTGCTGGTGGTGGGCGCCAAGAAGATTTATGCTCATCGTGTCATCCTGTCTGCCTGCAGCCCTTACTTCAGGTAGGAAAAGGCACCTTTGGGATTCACACGTGCACATCTTGTGTAGGAAAGGTCAGCTTTGAAAGCGTTGTGGTCGTGTTCTGATGGCCTCTGCAGGGCGATGTTTACTGGAGAGCTGGCAGAGAGCAGGCAGACTGAGGTGGTTATCCGGGACATTGACGAGAGAGCCATGGAGCTGCTCATTGACTTTGCCTACACCTCACAGGTATGAATGTCGCCATGTGATCAAGATGCATCAAGAAATGCACTTCAGCCATGTTGATAGATTCTCAAATATTATTTAAGACATTTGTCTTTTTGAAGCACAAATTTATGTTAAGGTGCAGATTGTCTCTTTCTTTGGTTCATTAGCAGTTTTTAGTTCATTTTACACATTTTAAAGGAATTTGATGCAACTTGGTGCAAAGTATTCTCATGATGATTCCCATATTCTCTGCCTTTTATGCTTTACCCTTATTGCAGTTATGACCTTTATATGTGACAACTCAGATTCCTAATTTATTTTTTACTTGGTGAAATCTTTAATCTTTTATCTTTCTTTTTTGGTTTTAAGTTGTTAACACTTGTCACATATGTGTGTATTATTTATTATTAGTTTTTAATCAGACCTTAAAGTGTGAATCAGGTGAGCTTTGGCAGAGGTCCTTACAATAAATTTACTCGTTACAAACTATTAAATGAAACATAAGAAGGTTTTCATGAACTACATCAATGGTGCAGTTTGAAAAATGTTTTTGCCAGTACCGTAGTTTAATTACCGTTATATATTTTCATCCTCCCACTGACCAAACACATGCATGTTAGTCTGATGGTAACTCTAAATTGTCCTTTGTTGTGAGTGAGAGAATGAATGATTGTCTCCGTGTCCCTGTGATGGACTGGAGACCTGTCCAGGGTGTCCCCCACTTCTCGCACAGTGATGGCTGGACATGGTCACCAGTGACCTCCACGACCCGAAAAGGAAGAAGCGGGTAAAGATGATGGCTGGATGAATTCTGAAATGTGGATACACAGTAAATGAAAACAGTCCCACATCTAAATCTGCCTAAAATCCACGTGGAAGCTTGAGTGACTGAACTACTTTACGCTGGCTGAAGTTATATTTTAAACCTTGTAATATTTTCAAGATAAATAGGTGAAATGTACACTGTTTTCATCTCTTCAAATTTAGATTGTTTTAAAAACTTGTTTGCATACTTTACCCAACACATTGAGCATAAATATGAACCTAAACACTGAAATTATTGGACCTCGCCTTCCAAAATGGCTTATACATGGTTTATTACCATTGTTGACACATTTTCAGTCACTTTGTCTGTTTTCTCAGATAAACAAATGCGTGTCGTACTTGCAGCTGTCGTGGACAAAAGGAGATTTCCAAACCAGACCAAGGTGTAGTGCGTCAGATTTATTTACAAAGCTTTGGAGAGCAGTCCAGCATTCACAGAAGACAAGATCACACTTCTCAAACACCTTCACCTGTCTGAAGCACTGACCTGTTCTGACTTCCTGAACTGTAAAAGTTAGTTTTATCCGTGTCTGAGCCGTCATCGAAAGTCCGCTGCAGACAGGAAGGAGTGGATCTGAGTCGAGGACGCTTCTTAAGACACGTCACCATATCATAACTCAAACCTTGAGGTTATAAAACTAGTTCTTTCTGTTCTTCACTGACCAAGACGGCTCGTTGCAGTAAGAGTGATATTACACAAGACCGTTTAATATCCCTCACATCACAGTGCATGTGCAAAATAATACACATGACTTCGACACAAGTTAAGTTTTTGCAGTTTGTGTACACTTTTTGTTTTTAGTGGTCTTTATGACGTTTTACTGAGGAAAGAAAGTGGTGTTTGGATCAGTTGCTTTTACAAGACTGGGAGTACTGGAAGTACAAACCCAAACAAACAAACAAACGGTACATGTCTGAAGTTTGGGTCTGCACCTCGCAGGTGACTGTAGAGGAGGGGAACGTCCAGACGCTGCTCCCTGCTGCCTGCCTCCTCCAGCTGGCTGAGATCCAGGAGGCCTGCTGTGAATTCCTCAAGCGACAGCTGGATCCATCCAACTGTCTGGGCATCAGGGCTTTCGCCGACACACACTCCTGTCGAGAACTGCTCCGGATCGCTGACAAATTCACACAGCACAATTTTCAAGAGGTGAGAACAGAAAATGCGAAAAAATAATAACAACAAATTAATCCAGCATTAGAAAATATTGATGCTTTTTTTTTTAACTGAATTTGTTTTTAAGCTGTGTATATATTACTTATCCCTTTTCTAAATAGCAACTGTTAAAAGTTATAATCAGTATATTTCCTCGGGCTTCTACATTTCAGATTGAAACATTTAATTTGAAAACATTGTGAAACAAAATATTTGTTTCTTGTAAATAAAGAGCTCTATGGTTTCACAGTATTGAGTAAACAAAGGCCTTAACTGTCAATTCTCGAGTTTAATCTTTTGTGTTGGGTTAAACATTAGACCACCTGGTGAATTGTTTGGCCAGTAGGATCCTTAAACTGGATTTTTGTAAGCAATGACCTACTTAAAGCTACGGCAGAGCTTTAGGACCATGCTAAGATAAAAAAAAAATAAAAAAAATACATTGCCACGCTAAAAAAAAAATAGAACCATAAAATTACAAGAATAAAATCGAATAAAGTTAATATTACGAGAATAAAGTCGTAAAAGACTTTTTTTTTTTTTTAGCTCTCGTTTATTTTTTAATTTTACATTTTTTTCCACGAGTTGGAGCCACAACGTGACCTGTCAATCAATCCAGTAGGCGTGTCAGCAAATGACCAATCCGAAGCTAAATGCTTGTTACCTGCAGAGAGCTGCTGCAGCCCATCAGAACGTACCACCTTACTGTAATCAGGTTCCAAGTCCTGATACTGATGATAATATGATGCTGATGTGCTAACAGATTAACAATCTCCTTATTTGTAATAATCTGATGCTGATGTGCTAACAGATTAAT